GGGGTCAAAACTGCAATTTTGGAGAAAATATGGGCCAAAAGTGAAAAAAGCAGAATTCTGGAGAATCAAGGACCGCACGGCCGTGCGGATTTTAGGCATAAATCTCACACGGCCGTCCGGATGGGCGAAATAGCGCAGTGAAGGAATTTTAATTGCACAAGGAAACTGCCTTCTTCCCCAAGTTCTTCACCCTATATAAGACCAAGCCAAGCACACAATTAGAGGATCTTTATACGCAATTTGGAGAGCAACAAAGCAATAACGAAGAATTCGAAGACTTCAAGCATAGATTTATCGTCTATGATTTATTTTATTTGTGTTTTTCCTTTAATCATGAGTAGCTAAATTTCTTATTTCTAGGATTTTATTTGGAACCCTATGTGGGATTTATGAACCCTTTTCTATGATTTTATGCAAGTTTTAATTCCGGATTATTTCTTCTACTTGTTTTATTAAGTTCATGAAACTGGCCACTTTATGCGCTTTTATGTTATTGTTAATCGCATGAATCGGAAGATCGGGTTAATAATTAGAACTGTGGTAGAAGAGCCTTTGTGGTATTAACATAGGAATATAGTTAATCTCTTAGGTAGCCATTATTGAGATTTGTGCTTAATGCTGTGTTCTAGAATTAATTGCATAGGAATATAGTAATTGAATCTAGAGTATTAGAATCGTAATACACGCGGAAGCGGGTTATGATTATTTTAGCATCTCAGGTTAATAATCCGGGTTAATTGCTTGCATAATTGAAGGAATTGGGGGAGTAATAATCACATAGGGGGAAGAATAAAATCCTAGGCTTGTCTACTTTGATTAATCTTCGTATTTTTAATTGCTTTCTTGTTTTTGTGTTTTTAATTGTTTTAGTTTAATTTAGTTTATTAATCCTTTTTCGACTGTGTAGGGTGGGCTTGATAACAATTGGTAGAATTTAGCGTCTAGGATTAGATAATTAAATATTCCCTGTGGGTTCGATATCCGGACTTAATAGTCCACTATATTACTTGTACGATACGTGCACTTGCGTGTAGGTTTTCGACCAACAAGTTTTTGCCCTTCCCGCTCAAGGCTTTCATTAAGCTCTTGCCTTTACCGGCAACTTGACTCATAAGACTTTTCCCCCGGCCTCCTGCCATCTACATTTTAAATAAGCACTTTATTAATATTTCATATAATAAAAAAAAAGAATTTAAATAATGAAATGAAAAAAAAAAAAATTGTTGTGCTCGTGCAAAAACATGCGAGCATTTCAACAGTGCTCGCATGTTTTTGCACGAGCGCAACTTATAATTAAACTAATTAATTTTAAAAAAAAAAAAAAAAAAATTAAAAAATGCTCGCGTGGATTTACACGAGCGTAGTGGATGCGCTCGTGTAAATCCACGCGAGCAAGCAAAAATCGGACTTTTAAAAAAAAAAAAATTATAAAAAAAAAAATTAAACACTCGTGTGAATTTACACGAGCGCAGTGGATGCGCTCGTGCAAATTCACACGAGTAAAAATCCAACGTCAATTTATTTCGAAATAAATTTATAAAAAAAAAAATAAATAAATAAATAAATAAATAAATTCACACGAGCGTGGCTAAGATCGATTTTTTCGTTTTTTTTTTCGGATTCGTAATCTACATAACAAGAGGATCGTAAAAACGTAAAAATTACCTCCGATCTGTTGACGATTTGCACGGGCTTTGCGAAAGAAAATCGAAAGGGTAGAGAGAGTTTTTGAGTTTTTTACTTTTTGTTTTTTGAAGAATGGTAAAAAATGTGCCTGACTGTTTAATTTTAGCCTGCACAAATCATTTCAGCTAAAGGAATATAGGCATCCTAAAGAAATATACCAGCCGATGAACGTCAGGCTAAACATCTTTTTAGGGAACTCACGCCAGACAAGGTAACAATTTGATTTATGCATTTTCATTGTGTTATTTGATTACTTAATAAACATGTTTATATGTTTATTAGGTTATATCATTCTCCGTGCACAAAGAAGAGAAAAAATTTCTGGTTTCACCTGTGGAAGAACTATCTGGTCCTATTGCTGCTGCTTTGGAGGTCGGTGGAAAAGTGGAAGTCAGGCGTGTAAGTGAAGAGTACTATTAATGAGATGGAAATGTCCCATTTGTAAACCAACATGATGTTGTTGTATTACACTAATCATTGTTTATTTTATGTGAACTGCAGCAGCATTCTGGAAATGCACAACAAGTGAAGAGGAAGAATGTGTGATTGGAAAAGACAGAAGGGAAGAAAAAGAAAAGAAAAACATTTATTTTTGAAGAGGAAGAGGAAATAGAAGAGCAAGATGAAGGGAAAAAAGAAGTGGAAGAGGAAGATAAATTTTTTAATGTTGTTGAAGAATTTTGAGATGAGGAAAAAAAAGAGCAAGAAGGAGAACAAGAAGAAGAAGAAGATAAAGTAGAAGAAACCTTGGAAAAAGTGCTGAACATGGAAAGGGAAAGAAGGTCGAAGGCAAGAGAAGACAATCGAGGAAGAAAGAGTTGAGGACAAGAACGCAGCGTAGTCTCTACTAAACTGCCCACAACAGTAATTATGATTATAATTTAATAATAACTATTATTATTATTAGTATTATTATTATTATTATTATTATTATTATTATTATTATTATTATTATTATTATTATTATTATTATTATTATTATTATTATTACTATTATCACTAATGATTACTTTGGATATAGGTTATCGTAGATAATTCTACGTACCAGGGGAGAACAGACTATGTATGTCGAGATGAACTAACTGATGTAGAGAGGGCAGTACTAGATAGGTACTTGGTTGATGTTGATTTGAGGTCAAATCACTAACTTACTGAACATATGGTATATAATAACTTCTTATGTAGTATCGGTGTACTAAAAAAATAGTGCATGTTTATTTCTATTTTAGTGCAATTGTGATCGAAAGAGGCCCAAATGTATTGATTGGAAAGCATATGTGCGATCTTTTGTTTGATCATCATCTAAGTGGGGAACATATCGACAAATAGTTCATGTTTATTTCTATTGTTTGCAAATTATATCGTAAGTCCTCAAATCGATGATTACTTCTTTAATTTACATATTGGGGAATGTGGTATATGTTTTATTAATCCATAGTTTGGGTATTGTGATTGAACGGTGCTGCAAAATGGTAATGAGAATACATGTATACTAATATAATAGTATATTTTTGTAGACGATTTATCATAGTAGGGTGATTGAAAATAAAACCGCGTTGGAGATACCTTCACGTGTCGAATAGGTAGAAGGATGCAGACAACAAGATGAGAATGATGATTGCGGCATTTTCATCTGCATGTGGGCATATTGCCATGCTAGAGATGTGCTGAGACTTGGGAAAAGACGAAAACTTGCTTGATTAAAAAATTCCGTCCAAAACTAGCACTTGTCTTCTTAAAGTACTAGGGAGTGGATAGAGAGCCAGTAGATGCTGATGCTTTGAACATATTTCGAAGGATTTTTAAAATTATTTTTGATTATGTTTGAACAATCTGTTTTATGGGTGATATTGGGTTGTGATTGTCATGAACAATCTGCTTTTGACTGTCTTTGCATGAACAAGTACTTTTAGTTTAGTGTTTTCGTGCGATAATGGTATTAAACTTGTGCCTCTTTTTTGGTGTTGGGACACCTATTTAGAATGTTTAAGTTTTTTGCTCATTGGTTTTTAATACTCTGATAGATTCTTGTCGATGCGTATAACCTACCCCGTCTATACCATTACCGAAAATGATGAATACCATAATATTGATAATTTGAATTGCTCGAATTTTTTTTGCAAATTTTTTATCCATAAGTGTGGGAAAGACATATAATAGGTTTTAAATTAAGGTTGTAAGGTTTTTTCAGGTTAGTTTTGACTTTGGGGTTCAAAATGGAACAAATGTATCGAATACCTTACAAGATACATTACTAATGTATAAGGCTTCTATGTATAAGTGATTGTTTTCATCACAAGTGACCATATTCAACACCTATCAACTCCCAAGTTGTCTCAATTCTTGTCAATGAGTCACAAAATGAATAAATGATGGATGAGATGGTTTTCTATGGTCGTATTGACCCCAAATGATACTATAACAAGGGTACCATTATTACAGTACATAAGGACTATATCGTTGGCACACGGATACTAAACAACCGTTCCGTCCATCCATATACACGCCACCGAATATATTAGTCGTTACACCAACCAATACCGTAATGTTGATGACTTGTATTGCTCGATTTTTTTTTACACATTTGTGATCCATAAGTGTGGGAAAGACATGTAATAGGTTTTAAATTAAGGTTGTAAGGTTTTTTCAGGTTAGTTTTGACTTTGGGGTCCAAAATGGAACAAATGTATCGAATTCCTTACAAGATACACTACTAATGTACAAGGCTTGTATCTATAAGTGATTGTTTTCATCACAAGTGACCATATTCAACACCTATCAACTCCCAAATTGTCTCAATTCTTGTAAATGAGTCACAAAATGAATAAATAAGGGTTGAGATGGTTTTCTATGGTCGTATTGACCCCAAATGATATTATAACAAGGGTACCATTAGTAAAGTACATGAGGACTATATCGTGGGAACTATAATACGTAGATATTGTACGATCTATGTGTGAGTTGTGCACGTGATATACAGAACCGTAAAACAACAATAACTATAACTATATTGTATGAGTACATTTCTTACGAACAACAATAATTGATTCATCGATAGAGTTAATTTATTTAGATGTACCCAAAGTACTTACACATTCACATTACAATACGATTTAACGAGCTACAATACACGACACTAACTTTTAAGTCGTACTATTACGGTGATTAGTCACGAAACATTATTACATAGGTTTGACAAATCATGTAAACTGCAAATATTACTAGGTTTAACATTATCAAACTTTGAATTTCTCCAGCTTCATCTTTGGAATTCTTCACTTTACTTTCGCGATGAACTTGGTTTGTCGATCCACTCATAGCTTCACTTTCTTCATATCGAGAATAGTTGTGGGAGAAAGTTTGCCCAATTTCAAATGGCTCACACCAATGAGAATAGCCATGGTCTGGGCAACAGTAAAATAGCCTCCCTGGATTCAAACTTGTCTCCGAAACCATGATAATTGTTTTTCTTCCACAATCACGATGCTTGCAGTTATCCTTTTTATATTTTAAGCTACTCTTTTGAGAGTTGCTACTAGAAGAAGCCATGAATGAGAAGCAAATGAACATAATTACGTGCTATTTATAAGTTCTGAAGACAAAAATAATGGCTATATTGTTGTAACGGTCATAAAATTCAAATCGATTCATTTATTATTCTTCTGTGAACTATATTATGTTGTAAGTTATACCATATGAACGTAACAACAATACTATTGTAACTAAAACAGTGCGCCCTATTGTAAAATAGTCATATCATGGTACATAATACAAATAGATAAAACAAAGTGCAAATGGATAAATAGTACGAATTACATGTCAACAAAGTTAAAACAACATAAAAATAAAGTAGAAACAACCACGTTTGATTCACCGCAATCCTTGTGGGGAGATGGGCAACCACATGTGCTCTCATCCACCTTGTCATCACTGATTGTTGCTACAGGACTGGTTGTTTGCACGTACGGCGATTATGTCCAGGTTTACCACACCGTGCACACTTCGTAACACGGGTTTCGACTTGCGATGGAATTCTCTTCGTCCTTCTATGTCATGTTGAGCTTTCGATGCAGGTGCATTAATAAATACATCTTACGGACCATGATTTGTTTGTGCATTGTACAAATCAAATTCCTCATCAAATGAAGGAATTGGATTAATTATGTACTTATATACTTCTTTGTACAAATCAACCCGGAAGCAAGGATCAAAAAATTCAAATATCGAATATCCTTTCGACTCAATACATGCACATGTGTTTGCACGGAAGTTTATCCAACTGCCAAGATTTGCAAGTACATGTCCTAGTCTCTAAATCAACACCATACGACTTATCCTCTTCATACACCTCGTAACGCGTACCACTTGATCTGGTATATTTTAATAAGCGAGAGGCCATATAGTTGATTAATTATCTCTTTTCAACTCTTGGACACACTGTACCAGCCATGACTAAAGAATCTTCCCATCGATTACCTATCATCTTCATTATTTTGATTCGTATCGTATCAATCATGGATGGAACTGGCAAAGATCGTTCATCTTTAACCCAACCATTCCAGCATTCAACTTGGTTACTGTTCATTATTCCCCATCTATCTCCAGAAAAGTATGCATTGGCCCAACGATTGGGATCCGAGTCTTGGATAAATGATTCCGCACGAGGCATTGATTGAACTATAAGAGAAATATGTTCCTCAAACTCTTGCCGAGTAGGAGCAATTGCAGCCTTATGTAGAATACTCACCCTGTTAGAGTAGGTGACCAACAAGCCAACCTGTGGCTGTGGTCTTTCGTATTTATTATTGTAATAAACGAACCTTTATTCGTATTAATGATAAAACACATTGGCATTCTATATCTTTGTCCCTTTGTCACAAGCATAGATGTAGTCCTTACAGTTATTACAAGTACTAGTAATTGATCGTTAGGATCGTGAGATATTTACTGAAGTATTATAACTGTTAAACGTGTTCCTAGTCGAAGGGTTACGCCACTAATGAGGATATCGGCCTTTCCCATTAAGACTAGCACTTAGTGTATGTGTACTGCATCTCATCAGTAAACGGTATTGTGATATCGGCATGCATAAGTGGGTGCTCGTAAGTTGACGAGTTCACTGAACTCCCTCACCCTAGAAATCTCTAAGTGGTTCCCAATAATCGAGTAGAGATATCTATGGTATAGTTGTACACCATTAGTCCTTATGACCTAGACATCACCGTGACTTCACTAGAGGACCAGCTGTATCGTGACCTGTCCCTGAGTTCCACCGAGGACCATCCCAAGGGCCAGTGTTCGTGCAGTCCGAAATCTAGTGGGAGGTCTGTGCATTGTAGTCGGGGATTCGATCGCTAGAATAGTCTTGGATGTCCTGTGTGTTCTGAAAGTTTGTAATCATTCTAAGTCTCTGGCCAGAGCTGACAAGGTGATGATTAGAGAATTCGATTCTCTAAGTCATGCACGTAAGGATTACAACACTTGGAACGATCGCACCGTCATCGAACATATAAAGAGGTCTCGATGAACCAATGCCTCTAGTTCGATCGGGACATATGAATCGAAGGGACCGTACTGTACGTTAACTATATCTGAAGGTTCTTGCAGGCACTTCATTTGTATCTAGGGAATCATGACGCGTAGTTGCTAGACGCCAATCTTGATTCGTTGGGTGATTAAGGTGAAACGAGCTTCATCTTAATCGTAACTCGAAGGGGATGAGTTTTGACCACAAAGGGTTGTGGGCCCACGGCTAGCTTACACCTGAACCATCGAGGGTCACACTGCTCGTGCACATGAGATCTTTGAATAAACGGTCAGAGATAAAATAGTTTATCTTTGCATGATTGGAAGTCAATATGATTGAGTCCAACATTCGTAATTTGGAATTGTGAATGAGAATAAGAAAAGGAAAAGAATAGGCGAACGTGTTAGTGAACTTTCTAAATCGGGAAGTTTCCAAATTTAGAAAGTGCACTGAACTAGGGTTTCCACTTTTGGAAAGTTGGAAAATGAAAGATGGCACTCGTAATGACGAGGAAATTATAATGATTCCGAAAATGTAATCGTTGCAATTTTTCGGTCATTGAATTAAGAGAGACGAGCAAGTGAAAGTACTAACGGACTTAAGCTGTTGGCCCGGTCCAACTTAAGCCCGCTAGGGTTTTATGCAAGGGACTATAAATACATGATTTATAGGCCTTGCACAAAAAACAACACCTCAAACCCTAACCCTAGCCGCTCACACACTCTCTCTCTCGGCCCTCTCTCCTCGGCCACCGCGCCGCCGTCGCCGGAGCTTCACCGGAATCGGCCATTCATTGGCCGATTGTTTCGGTATTGTTTTTCCTTTTCGTTTCTTCCGTTTAATTCTAACTACTTCGTGTCTAGTGCCACGATTTAGTAGATCGAAGTGTACGAGGTGAAATCCGAGAGGAGGAAGACTGTAGATCGAAGAATCGAGGAGCAACGCACGAGCCGAAGCCGCACGCTGCCCCACGCGCCGCCCCGGAAGTCCGCGCGTGAAACTCACGCGCCGCCGTGAGCTGTCTCACCGCCGCTGCTGCTGCACCGTTGCTGCCCCGATTGTACGGATTGGTTTCCGTAGCAATCTCGACGTGCTAAACGATCCTACCTCACGCTTCAAGAGGTAAATACGCGAAACCCTAGTTTCGATTTGAGTTTCGTTTAAACCTATGTATATGTATTCATGTTTGTCTCGTATGATTTTATGTGATTATGTGTAATCGATTTAAATCATTGTGAGCATGTTATTTGGTTTAAACGCGAGCATGTTAATTGGTTTAAATTCGGTTAAATAATTAGCATGTATGTTGTTGTTTAATTTCGCTGGAAGCGCAAAGGTACGCAATTAATTGATTTAATTTGTCGGGCATGTACTTGTGTGTTTTAAAGTCGTTTAAATCACATTAAATTTTTGTTTTCCGCTGCGTATGCGTGCCCGAAACCCAACACACCCAATATGCTTTGTTGTGCAATGGATACGATCTTAGAACCTTTGTTCTAAAGTTATCCTCCAAATGCCGCAAACAATAAGCATGGGTGCTAACAGGAAATACCAGTGGAATGGCTTTAATAAGCTCCGAATGACGATCGGAGAAAATTGTGTAATTTTTCAATAAACCCCCATTGTGATAAACAAGAATCTCTTTCATCTTATTACAAAACCACTCCCAATTTCTATCATTCTCGGCATCAACAATTGCATAGGCCAATGTGTATAACTCATCATTTGGATCTTTGGACACAACAGAAAGTAAGCAACCTTTGAACTTATTTTTAATATGAGTCCCATCCAAACATATCATTTGCCTACACCCAAGGTGGAAACCCAAAATAGAATTTCCAAAACTAATAAAGATCCGAAGAAACTTTTGAGTTTGAAGGTCAATCTCATAATCGGCACAACTACCAGGGTTATTCAGTTTTAATGCACGACAATAACATCTCAGTTTATCATAACAGTTCGACTCATCCCCATGAATGTCATACATTTCTTTTTCCTTACCTCTCCACTCCGTATAGTACTTAAGCTCCACACCGTACTTTCTTTGAACCTCATTCAAAATAGCGATTGGTTTGTAACCTGGCTCATCTCTCAATTTTTGTTTCATAAGTTGCGAAATCCACGTAGCATCGGCTTTGGGATGACCCCTTGTACGAAGAGTAGCATCACCACAACTGTGCTCAAGAATACATTTGCGAATGCCGAATAACTTGTCTAATTTATGAACTGATGCATAAAGCCTCCATTTGCAATTTTCAACAATGCATACGGCTATGATCTTTTGTTGATCATTTTTCTTGTACTTCAAGCTTCGGTTGTTAGCAATGCAGTAATTTTTTAGCATAAACCTAAAATCATTAGCATCTTTGAAAATTTGATTCTCCTCATGTATGCAATGTCTCCATGCACCAATTGAATCTCCAAGCGGATTGTACTCAATTTGCAACGGACTGTTGGAATTAACAGACTCACTGGAAAATGCAAAAACAATGAAACAAATTGGATTATTACAGTGGACTACAAATAAATTGTAACAATTGAAATAAGTACTTTGAGTGGAATGCTTGCATACGAGAACTCCATTTCTAAGATACTAGACATACAATCATTCCATACTATCAGTAGCCTTATATGATACTACGAGCATAGTTATTCTACACTATCACTATATTAACACGATACTATGTAGTATTACATTCTATGCTATGATCATATAAACAAATTGAAAATGCATACAAAACAGAATGGGTGCATACCCGTGGCTGGGGGCCCTCTTTCTACGCCCATCATGTTCATCAGTGCGGCTCACTACAATGTCGACCACAATCATGTGCATTACCAAATTCAATGTAACCATATTCACCAAGTCTTCGTCAGAAGTCAATGTGACAAACATTCTTTCACGAGGAGCCAAGTATTGGAGCACCAATTTGTCGGGATGTATATCGTTCCACTTCATTAAGATAGATTCATAGATCTACTTTAAAGTCGAATCATTCTTAATGGAAATGATGTGCAGATAAAGATAATCATTGTACCGACAACTTCCAAGAATACCAGCGGCGAGGGGGTTTGATTCACCATTTGCCGCCATTGTGGCAAATTTCAGTTTTTTTTCGCGGTCAGGAAACAAAAAGTAGTAACAGAGACTATGAGGAAAGGGAGAGGAGAGAGCAACATAAGAGAAAAAATGGAAATAAGAGGAGAGAGGAGAGAGGAGAGAAAAAGAGAAGAGAAGAAAGGGAAGAAAGAGGAGAGAGCAGAGAGAGTGTATAAAGTGAAAAAAAGTGGGGTCGGGGACTGAACTGCATGTTTATGTTTGCTTTAGGGACTGACCCACTTGTTAAACATTGCTGGGGACTGACCCGTATGTTTTGTTTTGAGTTGGGATTTATTTGTACTTACCCCTTTTTTTACAGCCTTTTCTTTTTCATTTTCTTTTGGCGCATTTAATGCTGAAACTACGACGTTGCAATTCCACAGTCCAATTAGCTTCTCAAATTCTTTTCTTTTCCTTTTATTTTTGGTGCAGCTCGACGGTGACATGTGTGCTTGGGTTTTCCCTTTTTTTTTATTCTACTCGCTGCAAAACGACGCCGTTTGCACCAGCTCTCTTACTTCCTCCTCCTTGCTCGCCCACTGCTGCCGCCCGCCAGCCCCACCTCGTCCGACGTCCGCCGCCGCTTCGATCGATGCTGGGCCCCCATGGTGGTCGGTGGCCTACAAATTTTGACTCCCACATCCCGGCCTCCCTTGTACCGTCCCTTCACTCGGTTCAAGTTCCGAAAAATATTGGTCTAGAGTTCAAGTTCCCAAGTAGTAATTGATAGGTATTGCACCAAATTAATTAAACTTATCTTCAATTTCTGCTCCATTTTTTTCTTCCTTCACTTTTTCTCCTCAAGAACCTTCCGTCTTTATTTTTCTTCAATCCTTTTCTTCCAGAGTTGCCATGGGACGTCGGCAGAGCGAGGTCAGTTTTATTAGCGCCTTTGTTTTTCCGTGGTTTATGATTGAGATTCTTCTTTGATTTTCAAGTTCAGCGGAGGACTTCCTAACGGCAACGGTGGATGCTACTAAGAGTGCTGGGGAGGTGCTCTTCGGCAATTTTTTGAGGAACTAATTAAATCAGCTTTCGCCCACATTTCACTGATTTTATTATTATGTGTATTTCATTTTTTGGTTTTGGGTAAATAGGTAATTCGTTCTGGGTGTTACAAGAAAAAAAACGAGGAGCAAAAGGGCGAGGTAAAATATTAGCTTATTTTGATTTATTGATTTCTGTATAATATCATTTTATATTCCTAGATTTAAACATTTTGTGTAACCCTTCAATTGATTAGAGGTATATCTTCAGTAACCTGTAATAGATTTGTTTACTATTTCGTAAATCGTAATTGGTATTTGTTTCGTAAATCATATAAGTCAAAAAAACAGTTGGGACTGTTATATTTATGCTCACTGTTAAGAGTAGCTTTCCGATTGTCGACTTCGGTAGTGCTTCGATTGCTTCTTCGGGTTTTGAAAATTGTTCGTATGAATGATGATGTTAGGAGTTTATATATTGGGACGCGTTTGTTTCTTTTTAATTTTGTTATATGCTGATGTGTGTCGATTGTTCCGTGTAGGTAGATTTGGTCACAAAGACTGACAAGAAATGCGTAGAACTCATTTTTTTATTTTTTCAAACTACAGTTTCCTGACCACAAGGTTAGATTTCTTGAAACCGTATTTTTTTTCCACTTGGATGCTAGCTATAGTGAACTTCGTATCTTGACGTTAGTCTTTTGTTTCATGTTAGCTCATAGGGGAAGAAACTACTGCTGCGTTTGGCACCACAAAATTGACCGACGAACCGACTTGGATTGTCGATCCGCTAGATGGAACCACTAATTTTGTTCACAGGTTCGTATCTTTATTATTAGTATCTTGTCATAATTTTGAGTAATTGTCGACAAGTTTAATAGTAAAAAGCACTGAGCTAATGTGTTCTAATCTTTGATGCATTGCAGGTTTCCTTTCGTATGCGTATCCGTCGGGCTCACGATTGGATGAGTTTCGACAGTCGGTGTTGTCTACAATCCAATTATGGACGAGGTGCGACTGTTCAAGAGAATAATAGTACCATTAGCTGAATTTTCTTGTTGAGTAGATAACGAATCTTGTTTTTTCGATTTGCAGCTTTTTACTGCGATTTGAGGCAAAGGTGCATTTCTAAACAGAAAACCCATGAACAGTATGTTACGTCTTCAGGCGTTTATATATATTTATTTTAAATTCAGGTTACGATTGTTTGATCCTTATTGCCATATTTTTCATGTGCAGCATCTTCTCAAAATGAACTTGTGAAGTCCCTTCTTGTCACAGAGGTAATCTGCAAAACATATTTAGCTTAACCAGAATTTATTAAAAAAAATTACCGTTAGATTGTTTTAACTACACGACTAATGAAGATTCATTCTAATTGGAATAACAGATAGGCAAAAAGCGTGACAAGTCTACTGTGGACGCCTCTACAAATAGGGTCAACAACTTACTCTTCACGGTTGTAACATAGTAGTCAGTATTGGGTCCCACAACAAATATTTCTTCCACCATTTTTTTTTGTTTATTTATTTATTTATTTTACTTTTCATGCTAAAAAATAGTTGAGAGCATGGATTTATGATCACTTGAACACGTTAGATCTCTTTGTATGAGTGGCTCTTGTGCTTTAAATCTATGCAGGATTGCATGTGGAAGGCTTGATTTATTCTACGAGCTCTGTTTTGGAGGCCCTTGGGCAGATTTTCTAAAACTATTCCAATTTCTAAAAATGTTCGATAAATTACTGAAGTTGGGCCCCGTTTACTCACTGATGTAGCTGCTAGTGCTGTTATTGTAACTGAAGCTGGTGGACTCGTATTTGATCCGTAAGTATCAATTCCTTAAAAAAAAAAATGGTTTCATCTCATTCTTATTTTGCAAAAGGACCCTTGAAAACGAAATTGAAATATAAGTAATTAACTGCTCAAGGAGGGTTTATTGCATTCAACACCCCTGTGTAATTGCTAAAAGCCTCTTAATGCTTAATAGTAATAAACCCCTAAACCCTTATGATTCAATTTTTTTAGCAAATTGCACCCCTAAAATCTCACTATTTAGGGGGTTGCGTGCTAAAAAAATTCACTACAGGGTCTTCTTTTGCTAATTTTAATATCACAGTGATTCTTTTAGCAATTCAATATAACACAGCGGTACGAAATTCATAAATATACCTCCCAAGCATAAGTTTAATCTTTTTGGATAAAAAATATGATTGTTTTATTTTGACTGATCGGGTAAGGAATTGGTTTTTCCTTTTCCTTTAATCTGCTTATTGTGGACCAACGTCGTTTTTTGCCTCAGGCCTCAAACCACCTCTCTTTTTTGTTTCTCTCCTACCGCTCCGTTTTCCTTCCCCGCCGTTATTGCTGACCTTCTGCGCCGTCAACAGTTATCTCGTCACTTCTTCATTTCACTTGCTACCGATACGTGCCCTCTTCTTGTTTTAACATCGCTTTGCCTTTTTCCCTTACCTCCCTCCCTTTGTCCTAACATGGGTTCTTTATGGGATTTTATTTGTTTCGATTTTCTTCCACTTTGTTGATGTTTCGTCAATTTGTTGTATATGGATGCTCCAGTCTTTGTCAGAAAAATCTTAATTTCTTATTCTAGTTTGGAAAGCTACTTCAAGATTGTGACTTTGGGCTACCCTGGTTTCCACTCTGTATGTTTGTTGGTTTCTTCTTAGTGCGCCTTTTGATTTAGGGCTTCATTTATGTGAATATCTACATTTGGAAGATTGGGTTTGGGTTGAAGAAATTCATTTGGCAGGTTCGTTTCGAAACTTGCATTGCATGAGAAGATCCAATATTGTAGCACCTTCTTGCAATGAAATATTTGACTGTAGGCACTGCCACAATGATTGAAAGGTCAGATTTGAAAGAAAATATTATTACTATAACTCATTAATCTATAAATAAGATTGGATCCTTCTACTCGAGATTTATAATTCATATATATTTTGACCCTCTTAATCTATAAATAAGCAGAACTAATTAGAAGTTTATCCACTCGAGTCACGTAATTAATGGATGTGTTTGGGAATATCTTTCGAACTTAATTGGTATTGTTTTCCCTTCTCTCATTCCTTGAAGATCTTATTTTTCTTATATTGATTCATATATTGTTTTTTGGTCATTTATCCAAAATCAACTTATTTTGGCTTTGTATCCCTCTTCAGGTCATCTGCTCATTGTGTGACACAGAACAAGATGTGAGTTTTCGCATTTAGGCTTATAGATCGGAGATGGAATGCCATTTTCAGTAATATTATCCACATTTTCCTTAAATTTACATTTTCATTAATTTTGGCCCATTTTCTTATAATTGGCACCTAATTTTGGCATATAGGTATGCTCTCTTGCTTCAGGTGTTGGATTAATGTCTGTATTTTAAGGTAACAATTCGATTATTTATTTAATTTAGCAATCTATGTTTAATGCTTGTGCGTGATATGTGAAACTTTTTATTATGAAGTTTGTGTATTTATGTGCGTTTGTGGAATTCGCACTTCAGTAACGGGCATGCTATTATGAGGATCATGCCACATGATTGATTCGTTTTAAATATAATCATGCCACATGACTGATTACCGCAAGATAGTTGAGTTTTCATTCTTATCACATCATCCCATTTCTTTTCCCCCTTTTTTTTTTGCCCCATTTTATTCTAAAACACTGTCGTATCGTACTTACTGCTCCACATTTGCACTGCCTTTTTATTTTTATTTTTTATATTCTTGAGAACCAGCTCAATCAACCTGCCTGCTTTTTGTTTTCCATTTTCTTTTATTCTTTCTCGCTGCGGAACAACGCTGTTTACACGTACAACCTCCACATCTAGCCTACATTTGTTGACCTCTTCCGCTGAAGCTCAACCGCCGATCCCGCCCCTCTTGTATCGTCACTTCACTATTATTCTATTCTAGCCAATTTATTTTTCCTCCTACTTCCATATGTACGTTGTCCTTTTGTCCATGTTGCAGAAATATATATCCTTCCATGTCTATCTGTTATTCCTCATAATTGCGGTTGTGTTATTTCATTTCATTTCTTTTGATGTTTAGGCCCTTGTGCTTTTTTTATTTTTTATTTTTTTGTTTCTATCTTTTTCCCCTTATTTTGGTAATCATTTCTCTTATTATGTTTACCTTTTGAGTTCTTTTATTTCAAAGGGGGATTGAGATCTTTTACAAACTTCTTATTGATCTGGATGTCTTAATTAATGTATTTTTACTTTTTTTACTTTCATGTTTGCTACTCGGAGTCCGATATAAGTCAAAATGTATTTTTATGCTTGCCTTTTACCTTCCAATATACCTAATTGATCTGAAAGCTTTTCAAATTATATTTTCATGCGTTTTGGTTATATGCCATCGCACTTTTTGTTTCTGAAGAAACGTAACCGTCCAAGAGCTACCTTAATTAAGAATTTCCTAGAATTTCCTCAGAAGGTGCAAAGGTGTGTGCCAAATGTTTTTTTTTAAATAAGCTTGTGCATTTTTATGAAATGTAGACACACTTTGAAGAGCATCTGCACAACCCTTGCAAGAATTTATGAATAAAGCCTCATTGTCTTTCCCTGGTTAGTTTAACTATAACTTCTGCAGCTACTGCAGTTACTCTGGTAACATAACATATAATAGAACAAGGTACAAGGTCTAATTAGTTGGTCAGTACTGCTGGATTTTTCTGCTTTATATGATTTGTTAATAATTAATTAACCTTTTTTCCCTTAGGGATTGAGTGTCTAAAGGTCAATTGAAGTTTTTTTAATCTCTGTGATTATAAGAAAATGGTATGAATTTTATTCATTTTTATTGACTTCCTAGGTTATTCTTCCTCACTATTTAGTGACATCTCATTTTCTTAAAAATGTTAATTGATCGCCTTGCTTCTGAACCTGACTACCAATTCCGTTAATAAAGTTATGCATAACTTATTGTTTCACGACACACTTGCTTACAAATAATAGCGCAGTAAATTAGTCTTTGTAAAGAATGGATAGTGTAGTATATAATTTAGTACGACTATTGTAAATCGTATCACTTGTGCATTATTTGCTGAATACGTCTATAAAATTATCTGCTTGACGGGTGGAACGTAATGGAGCATATAGGAACTTATCTGATTGATTACTTTTTACCAAACTTGTTTCTAATAAACTCCTCATTCATTCTGATGTGTGTAAAACATTTATATTACAACTTCTTTTGTAAGAATTTGAATTTAGTATCATGCCAATTCAAATGAGATTCACTTTTTCCTGCAGGCTATTTGATTTTGTTTGACACGAGGGACAAAGTAATGTGGAATGCATGCCTCTCTACAAGGTATTTGTACCCGTATGGATCTGAATTGTCATTGTAATGGTTAACAAAATTTCCCTTCTATAGTAGGAAGCATCATACGACCATTGAGAGATATACTATGCTGGTAGGATTAGATTTTTTAACGACAATAGTTATGTTGGATTCAAATACGCATTTGTAAATAATTGGCAAGATTTACCTATACATTATGGCAGTTGTCATGAGTATGTACATTCCAACTGATAAGTTATTAAGGTTCATTTTCGTCCAATTGTTTCATAATTTTGGGGATGGCACAGTATCACATGGTGCATTCACATCACCAACCCCATCGAAATAACCGATCGACTTGTGCAAATATGACGACCGGACACCACGCCTTAGGCGCGGTGCTCCGTACCTAGTGTGTGTATATATATATATATATATATATATATATATATATATATATATATATATATACTAAACTGACCTATAGAAACTGTGCCACCGCATTCAAACTTGGCCATTTCCGCCTCACGTTTCACACAGCTCACGGAGTCGCCGCCGCCTAACTCGCCTTCGCACTAACCCATAACGTACACCGACTGAAACTCGCCAGCGTAAAACCCACTCCCGCTCGCCACCCGTTTCGCTATCTCCGCGAACGCCGTGTCTAGTCTGTCACCGAACCCATCCCCACTCACCCGAGTCGACCCGCGAACCTTGTACCGCAACTCGGTCCCGCTCACCTGCCTGAACCCGGAAATCTCGTACCTCAAGTAGCACCCATTGAGCTGAACTTTCGCGGCGAGCGCTTCCCTGCAGAGTTTTGACGTCATTTCTGGAGCCCTCTTCATGCATCTGTGGCAGTCTTCGTTCAAGAGGTCCCCTCCGCCCTGGAAGAGACCGTGTAGAACTTTGCGGGGGAGGATTTGGAGGTCAGGTCGTCAAGGAGAGTCTCGAGTGTCTGCTTGTACAGCCCATTAAAATCGTGGAAGTTTTGGTCGGCGCAGCCTTTGAAAACCAGGCTCGTGTAGTCATCGGAGGCCGCGGTGGCGGAGGAGGAGGAGAAGCCGACAACCGAAAAGAGAGCTTCGAATATCTGCTCGCACAGCCGCCGGTTGCTGGCAAAGAGCACAGGTATGCATATCTTGGCGGCGCTAATCCACTGTCGGATCTTCGTTTCGATCGCCTCCCACTGGAGCCTCTGGATATCGCCGGTGCTCAATTTCTCGACATTCAGCTTATTTTCTATTTTATTATCGTGTTTCTCGAAATCATAGCAAAATACCGAACAACTCACGTATATAACTCAAATGTTCCCACAGATGGCGCCATTGATGTGGCCTTTTTGGTCACTTCATCGTATTTATGTGTATTTGTGTGTGTAGAATGTGTGTTCTTGGTGTAGTATGTGTTTCTTCTATGTGTGATTTTATTATCCTCCTCTAGTGAATTATGTTAACATATTTCTTATCTTCTTATTTGTACTAACTCTAAAAAGAGAAGAGTGGAGGGTGGGCTGACTCTAAGAGGGTAGATAGTAGGCGTTTTGGGCCTATGCAAATTAGCCCATATCACAAACTTTAAGTGTGGCACTAGTAGATTGTCGAGTTTGTCTTGGAGATGGCACTAATAGAGTGACCTTAGCAGGTCGTTAGGTCAAGGGGGGTGAGTGGTTTCATGCATCTTTGGGGCGGCATTAGGAGTGATCTCAAGAGGAGTCGGGTGGCACTGGATGTTGCGGCAATGCGGGAGGAGGATAGGTGGATCGAGTGGCGGAATAAGGATGGTGGTGCACGTATGGCAACGCGAATCGAGGTAGGTACATGGTCACTTCACAAATTGGTAATCTCGTGCGAGGGGTGATCTTGTCACGAGGTACGAATGTCGAGCGAGTTGTCTCCTCGTGGGAGTTGTCTCGCTGTGACGCATAAACGCAGAGTGAGTTGTCTCCTCGTGGAAGTTGTCTCGCCGCGGGGTGGTACTGGCGAGCGAGTCTCCTCGTGGGAGTTATCTCGCAGCGGGGTTGTAGTACCGAACGAGTTGTCTCCTCGTGAGAGTTGTCTCGCCCTGGGGTGGTAGCGTCGAGCGAGTCTCATCTTGGGAGTTGTCTCGCAGCGCGGTCGTAGCACCGAGCGAGTTGGCTCCTCGTGCGAGTTGTCTCGCCGCGGGGCAGTAGCACCGAGCAAGTTGTCTCCTCGTGAGAGTTGCCTCGCAACGGGGTGATAGCACCAAGCGAGTCTCCTTGTAAGAGTTTTCTCACATTGGATCGTCCACTTAGCAAGGACTCCAACCAAGATCACCTACTCGCGTACAGACCCTCTTGTTCTCGTTCAATCCAAATTAAATTAAATGCATTTATCTTCTCACTCGGCATTCGGCAAGCAAATTAAATTTACAAATTAAATATATATATATATATATATATATATATATATATATATATATATATATATATATATATATATATATATATATATATATTATAGTGTATCATCATGAATTTCAACCATTAGAGTACTTTCCAGGTTCGTGAATTAAATATGATATGGAGTCTTCTCTTTGTGGTTGTTAAGGCATGTAACAGGGCTTAATTTAAAATTTAGGTATAACGGTCGATTTCTTCAATCCATTCAATCACCGATTTTTCAGCAGCACATTTGATAATCATTCCGCTAATCGGAAGCAAATCACGATTAAGGAGTTAAACTCTAATGATAACGACGACCACAATCCTTGGCGAAAAGTTCCAACTGGTGTGTGTGCACTGTTTTCTTCTGATTTATGTCGTAGAATACTATTTAAGTTTTTTAGTTCTAGAAATTTTATTTTCAATTGATTTTCTAGCTCCTATCAAGTTCGTTCAATTTACGAAATAGAGTTTTATCGAAAATGAAACCCTATATTTTTTTTTTGGGGTTTGGGGTTCGGTTTTAGGTATTCAGAGTTTTACCTTGTGAAAAACATTCGAGATATTTTTCACAAGGTAAGTTATTATTCTTTTGTAACAAGTAAAAAATAGCAATTAAACACTTGTGTGCAAAACAAGTTGGAGTTCAAATGAATGCAACAAATATTTGATATAAAATAAAATTCCAACATACAAACAAATATTACCGGTTTGCTGCCGCAACTACTTTTCTAGACCTTATATGTGTTGTATTTTATGCCTTGAGCGACCTATTCGACTTATGCAACATATTTAGACGAGGGTAGTTGAAACTGCTACTCCATCCACAACTACGAGGGGAATATGGGAAATCTTGGGCCACTCAGAATCTCTATCCGGTGTCCTTTTTAGATTTAACATCGGAGATTGGTAAATTAGTAAAAGATTTAAGTTGGTGAGACGTAGCATGGCTTCCTTAGACGGTAGACGCCGCAACTTGCTGCAGTTATATAAACCTAACTTGTGCAGAGATGAAGACAAGTTGTTGTTGTTGTTGTTGTTGTTCCCAATTACCCAATCAGGCAGTTCTTCCATCTCTTGAAAATCATATAAGTATATCTCAAAAGGAGCAGTGAGATGTTGAAGCTCCTTTGGTAGATCCCGGCTGTGCTTTGTCCCGTACAACTGTAATGTACGAAGGGGTTTTGCTGACCCTTTCAAGATGGCATCAAAAACCGAGGAATGTGAGGACTCACCGCAACTTGTACCCGTGCTTAAAGTACCCCGCGAGCTGCAGTCACTAGACGACAACTCAATCTTCGAGGAATTGGTGGTTGGAATATCATCAATCCTTAACTCCGTGAGACGATGCATTTTCTGCAAACACCCTGTCACCATTCCCACATTCATCCTTAAGTTGCTCAATTCAAACAATTCCAACTTCTCGAGTGACTCCGCAAATGACTCTATCATTTCACTTGGCAAATCGGTCAACCCGGGGCATTTACGAATACTCAATTCACGAAGGCAACTCAATCCTGATAATAATAATTGTTGTTCATCATGTGATTCGTGTGGATATGGTATTGCCATCAGATTCGGGCAATCACGTATGCTCAATATCTCAAGAGCATTAAGGCTATGTAGATCATCTGGTAATTCTCCCAAATTCGGACAATAACATATCTCCAACTTTTTAAGTAGAGAGGTGTAGCCACTTTGGAAGCAAGGCACTAGATGTGTTAAGTTGGGACAATGAATTATCTTCAACTCCGAGAGATTTTGATTTTTACAGAATAACCAATCTGGAAGACACACCAATCCATCAATTGAATTAATTCGGAGTTTTGTAAGCAAGGTTAATTTGATCCCACATATGCTCGCCAAAGGTAATTCACTGTGGACTTGAGAAATCTCCAATTCTTTTAGGCATGGAAAATGACTTGGAGCACTCTCCAATTGCATGCACATTATAATCTTCAAGTACTCGAGGCGAGGAAATACCACCACAAGTTGAGATAGTCGTCGATTGCCCGTTGCATTTGGCATCAACTCTGCCTCTAACCACTGTGTCAGCTTCCACATACAAACCAACTCGAGCCTTTCAAGTGCCGGAAATATAGTAATTGTATTACCTGATCTGCCACACTTGTCCATTCCGTAGAATGACGAACCTATGGATTTCACATTCTCCATACCATGTAGATAAAGATTCTTCAAATGTCGCATGTGCCCTAGCATTGGAATTTGTTCGCATTCTTTGCAATTTCGAAGACCTATCTCCATCAAATTATTAAGCTCCGACATCATTGAACACCATGATGGAAGATTTCTTCCTGGAAATCCATAAATGTTTAAGCTCTTTAAATTTGGGTGGGGTTGGAGGCCTTCCAAAACACTCTCATTGCCATTTTGACCGTGACTCCACACAAGCTTTAACTTGACTATGTTTGACTTTTGTAATAAATCTGCTCTTTTAGCCTCTTCTTTGTCATGCACCTTTTCAAGATTATAAATCTCCAGTTCCCCTTTTAGATTCTTCAAGCTTCCGAGTTCACCAATTCCACAACCCTTTTTATCGCTCACTCCAAAGTATACTAGTGTTCGAAGAGAAATTAATCTTCCCATCTCCGGAGGCTTCGATTCGAGAAGGAAGGTGGAGATGCCTCAAGTTCATCAAGTGTTTCATTGTGTTTGGCAACTTCTCCATGTGACATGCTCTTAATGTCTGCAAGTGATAGAGATCACCAACAGAGTCTGGCAAACATTTAATAAATGTGTGAAAAATGTCCAGACATCTCAAATGTATTAACTCTCCAATGGAACTTGGCAACTCATCAAAAAATAAATGACCACCTGAATTCAAAATTAAAACGTGTAACGATTTGAACTCCGAGAACATGAGATCGCATATACTATCATTGAAACATAATGAACGAAGACAACTTGCGTGTTCTTTTAAGATAGCATGTGATTGACCATTAATCGATTCCCAACCTATGTACCGAACTTTATCGCTTGAATTTAAAACAGAGGAGGCAAGATCATGCACAAGATCGTGCATGTTATAATATATTATATTGTCGTCACCGCTTCTCTCCACAACTTGTAACAACAAGGAGTTCTCTAAAAGGTTATTAAAGAATTTGTTGCCCACAATCTCCATATCATCATTTCCTCCAAGAAATCCCTCTGCCATCCACAACTCAACCAAGCGTTCCCTTGGTAAGTCATATCCTTTAGGATATATCGAACAATATGCAAAACACTTTTTGAGTGCTGGTGATGACAAATGATCAAAACTCAGTTTTAAAATCTTGGAGACTGAGTTTTCATCTCTTAAATCTGAGAGCCAGTTCATTTCAATATGGAGCCACTCATCAATCGACTTACCAAGCAACAATCCCCCAACCATTCTAGCCGCCAATGGCAAACCTTGGCATTTTTTTGCAATAGATACCCCAATGAGCTCAAATTCTGATGGAACATTATCTTTTGGGAAGGCTTTTGCTTTGATTATGGACCAACACTGCTCTTCTGACAATTCTTTTAGTTTGTGAATAGGAAGTGTTGTCACCAGTGAAGCAACACTCTGGTTTCTTGTAGTAACAACGATGCCATTTCCTGTCACAGAACTAATTTTTCTCAACGGATTAATAAAATCATCCCATTTTCCCTTGCTGTCATTCCAAACATCGTCGAGGACAAGTAGAAATCTTCCAGCTCCCAAATATGTCTGAAGCTCTTCCAAAACATCTTGTTTACTTTCAAGTTTGACGTTTGTTTTTGTTAATGATGTAAGAATCTTTCTGAAAAGAATCATGAGATCGAAATTTTCAGAAACATGCACCCAAAAACGTTTAGCGAAATGAGACTTTATGTCTTTATGATCAAACACTTCCCGAGCTACTGTTGTTTTTCCGAGTCCTCCCATTCCGACTATCGGAAGGATAGAGAATACTTGATCACCCTTTGGAGGAGTAGTCATCATCTTCACAATTTCAGACACGTCGTTTTCTCTACCAAGAAAAATCGGATCGTTACCGAACGAATCAGTTTCTCGGCATGATGGGCCTGATCCAACAATAGGAGCACATGCACCTCCTACCGCCATTTGAAGGCCATAGCTCCTTGCCTCCTTGTTGATCTCTTCCAAATTTTTATTGATATCCTTGATTTTACGTGGCATTTTTAGACGACGAATATTGCGTGGGAAGAAGACTCGAACCTTTTTCTTGATTTTGTGTTGGGTATTAACCGTTTCGGAGAGATGTTGATAGTCGAGCTCATCCAAAACATTATCGGCATCGAAAGCGACACCTTCGAGCTTATGCAACCAGAGTTTGACGGTTCCGTTGGTGATTTGGTTGTTCTCTGCATCGTTCAAGAATCTTTGAATCATGGTGATTGAACTTCTTAGCTTTTTTAGGTCTTTCTTGAAATTTCGGAAGAGGTCGATCTACTTTTCCAAAACTGAGATCAGTCTTGGAAATAGAACTCCAAGGGCTGCGCCAACCGGAGCTGCTTCCATTCTTTCGTTGACTATGTAAGTGTATTTGAGAGAGAGAGAGATGGTGAGAACTTCAGCGATGGTGAGATATGAAAGTACTAGCTAGCTACAACAACGAAGTACAAATTTCACATAAGGAGACTTTTGATAAATATTTTGGTCAATAGATAGAGACAAGATGAATTTAATATTTTGCTCAACTTGGACTTTTAACTCATAATCATTAAATTAAGTGTATGATGTTAATATGTCAATATTTTAATATATATATATATATATATATATATATATATATATATATATATATATATATATATATATATTGGGAAAAATATAGTTTTCGTCCCTCATGTTCGCACCGATTTCATATTTGTTTCCTCATGTTTCAAAAATTCAACACTTTTAGTCATTTCCGTCAATTTTCCGTTACAAACTAATGGAATCAAGCATGTGTCCGTCACTGCCTTAACCGACAGACTAATGGTAAATTGACAAAAATGATCAAAATTGTTAAATTATTGAAACATGAGGGACCAAATGTGTTTTTTTGTGAACATGGGGATCACATGTGAAATCGGTATAAATTTTAGGGATGAAAACTGTAATTTTCCCTATATATTTTGATACATTATTAGTACCTTTGAGTCTTTCACAAAGAAAAACTCAAAAGGGGAATTTATGGTTTTCATTCCTCAGGTTTGCATCGATTTCATATTTGGTCCCACATGCTCACAAAAAAGACATTTGGTCCCTCATGTTCCTAAAATTTAACACTTTTGGATTGGTCACTTCCGTCAATTTACCGTTAGACCGTTAATTAAGGCAGTGATGGGTGCACGCTTGATTCTATTAGTTTTAACCAGAAATTGACGGCAATGACTAAAAGTGTTGAAGTTTTGAAATATAATGGACCAAATGTGTTTTTTGTGAACATGAGGATCAAATGTGAAATCCGTGCAAACTTGAAGACAAGAACTATATTTTTCCCAAAAAGTCAATGACAAAGACGTGTTAAATCATGTTGCACTAAATAATAATCATCCTTAACGTTTCCTCACACCTACTACAAAGACATCTCACTGACTTCCTAGTTTTCGTAGTTATGTAGATTAGTACTGCTTTTATTTTAGGGGCCTATGGAAAAGATTCCGTTTTACTTGTTCCGTATCTTGAGTCGCGCGTCTTCCATGTTCCATCATAATTTAAGCGTCGGACGGTTTTCCACTAGACTCAACTCCTGTGTTGCAGGTCAAGCTTTTCCGACGACGAAGAGGAGATCGACGTGCTTAGGAAGAAGTCTGGGACGAATTTTGCACAACCACCATACTATTTAGAACTTATTTTTCTTTTTATTGAATTACGTATTTATTTTTTGAAATTATAATTTAACTAAGGCCATGTATGCAGACATTAAGGGAAAAATACAGTTTTCATCCCTCATGTTTTCTCCAATTTCACATTTGGTTCCCCATGTTCACAAAAAACAAATTTGGTCACTCGTGTTTTAAAAATTCAACATTTTTAGTCATTTCTATCAAATTTCCGTTAAAACTAACGAAATCAAATGTGTTTCCATCACTACCATAACTGACTGACAGACTAACGATAAATTGACGGAAATGACCAAAAATGTCAAATTATTGAAACATGAGGACCAAATGTGTATTTTGTGAACATAGAGAACCAAATTTGAAATCGTCTCAAAATTGAGGGATAAAAACTGTAAATTTCCCGAACATTAATTTTTATTTTTATTTTTGAGGACCCTGGCATTAATTATGATATGCTTGCTCTTTAATTAGAGTTGATTGTTTCCTAAAATGCTTTTGCTTGTGCGTGTAGTTTTCAATAATAATAATAAGGGATTTTTGTCTATAAGTATCTGACCAACCATTTTTATTAAACTAAGTTTAGGGGCTATATCTATTTGGTCAATAAGTCCATCCCTTTAATATTTATTATAAATAAAATAAAAATTAATGTATATGACAAAATTACTTCCAACCCTTTACACCCAATTCTTAATTGTAACCCCAGTTTAATCAATTTTGACCACAAAAATCAATTTTGACTCTTTTATTTTTAAACTTTTTTTTTCAAATATTATTTTTTTGCCGCCGGTTTCCGGCATTGACTTTTCGATTTTTTTTTCCGCCGCCGGTCTTCGGCGTTAACCTTTTTTTTTTTTTTTTTTTTTTTTGGTCTGTTTTTTCCGCCGCCAGTCTCCGGCGTTGACTTTTTTAAGTGATTTTTTTTCTCATAAAATTTGTATCCATGTTTTTACGCTCGCTACTAAACGTTGTCTGTAATTATATGTCATTAACAGTAATTATACCGTTAGTGACAGTACATTAACGTAATTATACTGTCATTGACAGTACATTAACGTAATTGTACTGTCGTTAACAGTACATCTATGTAATTGTACTGTCATTGACCGTACAATTAGAGTCAACGACAATATTATTATTTTTTGGGGGTTTTTTTCATTTTGTTTGATTTGTTGACAAGTCAACGTAATTACTGTCGTTGACATTAAAATAACTGTAAACACAATAATATTACTGTCAACCACATAAATATTATTATTTCTTTGGGTTTTTTGTTTTGTTTAAGTTATTGACGGAGTAACGTAATAATATTACTGTCTATTATTGTAATCTTACTGTAAACACAATGAGGGCCGGCCTATGGGTATTGCCGGGGAACCATTTGCTTTGGGCCCCAACTAACAAGGGGGCCCAAAAAAAAAAGTGTAGATGTGTTTCAAAGATAATATGCTAAGAGTCCCTTAAATGAAATCTAATTTGAACTAAATGACAACCTTAAATTCAATATTTTAATTAAATCCCTATTTTGAAATAATATATGACCCACATCCCTAATTTTTATTTTATCCCTAGTTTGCCCTTATACCCTAAATATAATATCCCACGTTTATTCAACTAATCATATTTCTTTTTTGTTTTCTCTCTCGCATCTCGCCGCTCCCTCTCCCTCTCGTCTCTTCCTCTCAGATTTTTTTTTGTTTTCTATCTCGCCTCTCGCCGCTCACTCTCCCTCTCCCTCTCGCCTCTTCTTCTCCCTCTCCCTCTCGCCTCTTTATCTTCCGGCGACGGGTTGTGGTGGTCGGGACGACGGCGAGGGGTTGTGGTGGTCGAGGCGGTGTTGGGGGTTAATGGTGGTTGAGGCGGTGTTGGAGGGCTGCGGTGGTCGGCGGTGTTGGGGGTTGCGGTGGTCGGCGGTGTTGGGGGTTGCGGTGGTCGGCGGTGTTGGGGGGCTGTGGTGGTCGGCGGTGTTGGGGGCTGCGGTGGTCGGCGGTGTTGGGGGGCTGTGATGGTCGGCGGTGTTGGAGGCTGCGGTGGTCGGCGGTGTTGGGGGCTGCGGTGGTCGGCGGTGTTGGGGGCTGCGGTGGTCGGCGGTGTTGGGGGCTGCGGTGGTCGGCGGTGTTGGGGGGCTGTGGTGGTCGGCGGTGTTGGCTTTTAGGGTTTGACGGCTGCTGTGTTTACGACTAGGGTTGGCGAGATTGGGTGTTGTTGGCTGCTAGGGTTTGGTAGTACACCGTAGTAGACTATAGTACACTGTAGTATACCATAGTCTACATGGTATACTACAGTATTGACAACAAATAAATTAAAAAAAAAAAATTAAAATATATGTAGCTTGAATTAACAAAAACGAAAAATAATTTTTTTTCGTAATTTTCAATATCATGTAGGATTTGTTTTTTAATAATAGTGTAAAATTTATAGTACACCATAGTATACCATAGTGCACCATAGTATTTTTAAAATTTGCTGAATTATTTAACAATTTTGTTTCCCGTAATTTCCAATAAAATATAAAAAATAAGGAAAAAAAACTGTTTATAATAATGTAGAAAATGTTAGAATGAAAATTGAAAAAATAAAGATGAGTGAAAGGGCATTTTCGGAATAAATTTTATAAAGGATGTGAAGCAAATGTTTAGTTGAGCTTGTCATTTAGTTCTAATTAGTTTTATCACTAGGGACCTATATCTTAAGATCCCAATAAAATATTAGATGTAGTTATGTTGTGCAGTAGTCAGAATTCAGTAGTGCTCCAGAATTTAAATATAAAACATAAAAGATTATTTCCGTATTTAATTTTTGGAGGCCCAAAGTTCCAAAATCCAAACAACAATTAAAAATAATAAAAATTGTATTCACATGTGATTGAAACGATGCCAGCAAATAACTTAAACAATTAAAAACCTATCATACAATTAAACAACATTAGCGAACAACTTAAACAATTAAACAATATATTAGCAAACAACTTAAACAATTGAAAAAACCTATTATACAATTAAACAATACTTAAGTGAAGGTTCTTTTGATTTATCGAAATTACTCATAGTCTACTATTTTTTGCTGTTTTGCTCAATTTAGTTTGTTATTTAATATATTACTTTTGTTTTGATAGTTTAATAAACACTTGTAGAATGAAACTAGTGATGGAAGGGTTCATTTTTTAATCTTCACGGTTGAGGGGGAAAAGTTCAATAATATTGTCGAAAAAAAAGGTACATTTTTTTTCAAAACTTGCTTAGGGTCCCTAAATTTGTTGGACCGGCCCTGAACACAATAATATTACTGTGGTTGACGGTAATATTAATGTTGTTACAGTAATATTATTGTCAACCATAGTAATATTAATTCTTTTGGCTTTTTTATTATGTTTAGCTTTGTTTTCTTTTTTTTTTTTTTTGAAATAAATGTTTAGCTTTGTTGAACGGTCAACATATTAATACTACTCTATTATACAACAATAAAGACTTTTGTTGTGTTAATATTACTGTGGTAGAGATTAATATAGCAATATTACTGTGTTAAATTGCAGTATAGTTAATTTTACTGTGTTTAACAGTA